GTATTTATTTTTTTACAATAACAAGCTGGAATTAAAACAAGCAAAAATAAAATAAAAGTAATAACTTTCTACTTCTTGGCGTTTTTTAAAATGTAAGGAGTAGAAAGTGCAGTTAAATGTGTGAAAATGTAAGAAGTAGAGGTAAAATGTAGGCTGGAAAATAATTGTTCAAGTAAAGTACAGATACCCCAAAATTCTACTTAAGTACAGTACCAAAGTATTTGTACTTAGTTACTTTACAACTCTGCCATTCATATGCTTTGTTTTTATTTATTTTTTAATCTTGTATTTTTATCTGATACATTCTCTATGTGACTTGGATATGTTGTTTGTTTGATGTTTTGTTTCTCCTTCACCTTTTCCTTATGGGTGTCTCTGGTACCCGCCAGGCTGACGTTGTAAATAAGAAGTTATTCTTAATGTTTTGCCTGGTAAAATAAAGGTTAAATAAACAAACAAACAAATAATAATTCATTTTAAACCTTCAAAAACATAAACAGCAGCAATGCACCTCTGTGGCGAGTCAGAGTACACAAATAGCTTATTTTAAAAGAAAATGAGCAAAAACTGCTTGTAATGATGGTGTTCTTCTTTTAAAGTGGTAGGAACCTCATAAGTCATCAATTTCACTGTTATTAAACACATGCTTGTTTTTTTTTTGTACCCATATAAAAAATCTGTGGAAGATTTATATCACATCACATTGCAATAAAATCATGTGAGTTCTTGGAAAATGCTAGGATTAAAGAAGTACCACAATGTGCTGCATCTTTTTTTTAGAAGTACTGCGTCCAATTATTGTACTGGATACATTAGAAAAGTGTCATATGATCCATATTATTTCTCAATCAAAACGAACGAGAAAGAGCAACAGGAGTCACTTCTTTTCTTATAGTTCACGCTTTGCTCTAATAATTTGCTCATATAAAAGTAAAGTAGCATCTAAAATACTCTATAGTTCAAATGTACTGAGCTAAACTTGTGTGGGGTGGTAGCTGAGAGTTATCCCCATCACATCAGAGTGAGGTCTTTGTTTGGAAATGCATTGCTTTAAGAATTAAATCCAAACAAACCATTTGGAACAGCGTATATAAAATTGCTGTTATAAATCAGTCATTGTAAAAGTGGCCTTTTTTTTAAAAAAGAAGAAAAAAAACATCTTTGGTATCAAAGAGAAATCAAAACTCTACAAAGTAATATCAATTAAAATAAGTCTGCAATACAGACAATATTAATTCAGTTAATATTTTTATTGAATCGATATTAATCTGTAAACATTTTCTATCACTTTGACATCAAAAACGTTTAATCTTTTTGTAAACAAGGCCAACTTATATGGACCACAACTGACAGAGGGGAGAACAGGATAAAACATGTGGAGGTGATGACTATTTATAGGTCGTGTAGTTTAATTTAGAAACAAAAGAAACTGGGAACCAGTGGAGACAAATTACAGGAAATTATCAGCACTTCTGCCTGAAAATGTTAACACCAAGAGAGATTACGCAAATAATAATATAAAACCATAAACTAGAAGCTGAAAAAAAAGCCTCATAACGCCTTACAGAGCACAGAGGAAGGAAGGAAACCTGTTCATAAAAGAAGTCTTCCTCATCACGTACAGTAAATTAGAGGAACGAACATCATGGAGCGATCAAATGTCATGACCTGTCATAGCAGCTGGGCCTCTTCCCATAAAGGCAACGCAGCAGATTCACATGAACTGATTTGACCAGCGCTGCCTGTCCTAAAGCAATTTTCTCCACTTTAACCGAAAGGCTAACTTCCCTTCTGCAGAACCAGTTTCTCATTACAGCAGCACGTTTTACACCACAGAAGACTCTGAACACTCATCTCTATAAAACAATAAGTTTGTTTTATAATTATTGCATGAGGAACAAAAAAATTAATTTACATGCATTTGCGTTAAAATGATCATTTCATTGAGAACAAAGCCCAACAAATTTCCTTCAGACAAGAGCAGCATGTGGTTAAAGTCCATTTAAGAAATTTTGCAGCTATGATTATAACACTATTTTACTCGTGTCAACGAACTGTTTCATTTATAACATTTCCACAAAGACTCATTTTATGAACCGATTGAACTTTTAGGACACAAACTCAACTTTAAGATGACAAAATCTTTATTCTGACTAAAATACTTACAGAAACAAGACTCCAGCTTTTCTATTATTTACCATTTGTTCTATTTTTTTAAGTTTACTGATAAGTTTACCTCTTTCTCTCCTTTAGCGTTCAGTATTTGCTTTATCCTGTGCTTTTTCAAGCATTTTGTTTGGCTTTGTTTAATTCTGTTTTGTTATATCGTGTTTTTTTCTGTACGTTTGAATTTTTTTTTTTTTTTTTTTTTAAAGGAAGGAGGGAGGGGGGGCTTCTCTCTCCTCTGCCAACTTAAAAATAAACAGTGGTGTTGTATCTCCATTACATGGATACTCTTAAAGGTTCATACCTGACGTTAATAACATAATTAACACTCATTGGGGTATTGAAAAATAAAACAAGTTATTTTAATGAGCAAGGCACTTTTCCTCAAAAGCAATGACTTAAAAGTTGCTCAAACATTTTTCACTAAATATTCACAAGGTTATTGTTTCATGTCATTTATTTTACCATTTGAACAGTCGACCAGCATGATCAGTGTTAATATTTACACCAGTAAGATGGCAATTTGAAACAAACATGCATTTTTTGTGACCTAATCAATTTAGTTAAAAAAAACAAAAACAAATAAATACAACTCAAATCAATGTCTTGTCTTACAAAAGCAAATTTAGTATTACAAGCAGCGATAAAGTTCACTAAAGAGAAAATGTAAATAAAAAACTGATTCAAATAATCACAAATGATTTATGCAGAAATAAAAGGCATCATCAACCTCGGAGTTAAAAAGTCCCTTTAGTGCAAAACAGTCTGAAGTGAATTCACTCAGTTTGAACTTTCATGCAAAAAGCTCAACYGTTTCTCTATTTTCTTTACCCACTTGACCTTTCCAGGTAGTGGGGGCCTGGTGCCTGCAGGAGGGTGGGGCGAGGTGGGGTAAGACACCCTGGACAGGTCCAAAGTCCACGACAGGGACACAAATAGAGACAGATGAGACAAATATGCTCACCCCCACGGTCGCCCTGACAATAAAACACTTCAGCTTAGATTAAAAAAAAMCCAATAATAATAAAAAAGGCAGATTATTTAACATAAAAACCACAACATGTTCCCATCCAAGTGTGGAAATAAAATCTAAATAGAAGGGAAAAAAAGTGCAAGAATTTGAACGTTGAAAGAAACAGAGGTCAGTATTTGAGAAGGTTGTAATTAGGCCTGTCACGATAACAAATTTTGCTGGRCGATTAATTGTCTCAAAATTTATTGCGATAAACGATAATATTGCCTGGTGACCGTTTTACAACTAATAATTATAAAAGCGTAATGTGTAAGTGTAATAAATCAATAAACTTTCATTTTTAAAAGAATGTTTAACAA